TAATGAATTAACCTTTACACATATGAACAATTTAAGAATCCTCTGATATGACCTTATATGTAAATAAAAATGGTTCAGGCGTTCGCTTAGAAATTTTTGGGGTGTTACATCTAGTGAGGGTTTAAAAATTACCCTAGATGCAAAACTAAAACCCCAAGAAATTCCAACATGCCTTATAACTAGGCTTCAATTTTATTGTGGTGGAAGTTGTTTCTCAAGTCACATCCTAAGAGTTTGATATTCTTCTTCAGAGTATGTCTTAGTCCACTGCTAAAGAAAATATCATGTTGTGTTGCATCCTTGTTATGCAATCTGCACTTGTGATTTGATGTGAGAATACATCCTCTTGAATGTCCTAGGAAAAAATCAGATAAAACTCATTAGTATAAACTTTAATTCAAATAGAGAAGTAATGTCGTTTATCATGTTTTGAATATAGTTTTCTCTTAAGATATTTGACGTCAGCTTTTTTCAATTTGACATATAGAAAAATAGGGTACACATCTTTCATTTTAAAAATTGATATGATTGGTTATTGCCTTTCAAACGTCAGTCTCCTAATTTTGACGTGACAGACGATGAGTCTATACTATGCAATATGCTCATTTCCTTCTTGGTAATATTGTCTGATGTTGGTGGACCTCTCAGCAATGCTATAATGATGTCACCACTTCTTATAATATAGTATGAATGACCCTTTCAACAAATAATATCACCACCTATGGTAATATAATATGAATAGACTTCTAGGCAAATGATATCACCACCTCCATTATAATATGAATCGCCCTCTCTAAAATTTGAATATGTAATGGACCTCTCGACAAATTATATGTGTAATGGGCGTCTCGACAATTTAAGTATGTAATGGCCTTCTCGGTGAATAAGATGTGTGATGGATCTTTCAAAAATTAGAATATGTAATGTCCCTCTCAATGAATGAAATGTGTGATGATGCTCTCGATAATTTGAGTATGCAATGGCCCTCTCAGTGGTGAATATGTGATCTTTATAAAATAGATGGTGATGAATTGGTAGGACAAATGTTTGTCCATGTTAGGACATATATGGAGCCATTGATAGGAAAAATTAGGTCCTTATTGATGGTTACTTATGGTCCTACTGCATACTCTGCATTCATATGCATTGTCTATCAACAATATACTTGTTTGTTTACTGCACCATCCAGTTTAATGGGGGGTGGTTGGGTTTGTTTGTTGTTTGTACCTATCGGGTTTATGAAGGTTTGGTTTGGTTATTGTTTGATTATATTCTCCCTATGTTGTTGTTGATCTAATAACTAATAGGTTGTGGCTTTAGATTTTTGGTTGTTAGTCCTCCTAACCTAGAGTCCTCCTAACCTAGAGTATTTTTGTTGCTTGTAAGTAGGTTATTGGCTTGTGCCAGGTATGTTCTTAACTTGGTTTCTTATTTCTTGTGTCCTACTTCTGTTCCTTATTGCTTGTCTATCATATTATATTCTGTTTAGGTATATGTGATATGCTTTCCTTATTGCTTGTTGTATATACTTGCTTCATGTCACACATTGAGCCTACATCCTTGATGTGGCCGACACTCAAGAACCATTACTGGTCCCCAAGTGAATCCTTAGCTTAGATGACTAATTAGAGGAAGACTAACTCAGGCAAATTTAGACATTAAAACTGAATTAAATCATTAAGTCAAAGTACCCAATTATATTATCTAAAACTACCAAATGAAAGCAGTAATAGTTTTAACAAAACATCTCAATAGAAATACTAAAAGACTCTCAATACTAGCTATCTATGAAGCCTCTAATGTTTAAGATAGGCATCGGGAAAAGACCCACGACAACCTTAAACAACTAATAAAAGTAAACTAAGGACTGTTGTCCTCTGAAAGTTAGGAGGCCTCACCAAAAGCTTTCTACGAGTGCAAGTGATCTCAATGAAACGCCTGTTGATGATCCTGAACACCTGTATCTGCATCATAAAAAGATGCAGGTCGAATGACATCAGTACATAAAATGTAAAGAGTATGTAATATAGCAAAAAAAAAACAATAATTGAACTGATGGTGGAAAACATGTCAAGTAAACAATATATGAACATGTAGTGAAAACCATTTGTACTTTACAATAAGATATGTGATAACAAATATGAGAATAGAAAACCTTACTTTATGGGGAGTTTCTCTAAAAGTTAACTATTAATATGAGCCTAGAAATGATACAACATTTCTCCCACATTGCAAGGGCCATCCTATATGTTGTCGGGGTATAGGATGCTACTGTAACTATGGATCCATCTAATAGGCCTTCTCAGAGGCAGTGAAGAGTCACCACAAATCGGTGCGATCCTATCCTACATTAACTATGTAGTTTTATGGGACTTAAGTTAAGAATATACTCTTACCCAATTCGGCGTTCGATACTACTCCCAAAATATTCAATATCCATTATACTCAATCACCTATTTACAAGGAAAGGGACTATTACTTTACTTTACTATTCACTTTGCTTTGCTTTGTTGAAGTACTTTTCAGAAACATCAATTATACTCTTTATGTTTCTCAACTGTCAAATACTACATATGAAAACATTTGATTCTTTGTTTAAAGACTGTTTAAAACTTGCATTTAAAATATGTACTTATGGACTTATCTTTCAAATCCAAAATCATTATATAAGAAAGTCTCATGTAGTTACCTTTGAAAACATGACTTTAATAAATCAATTGGGTGCATGTGATACTAAGCATGAACAACAATTTAGAATTTTGACAACAAAGTAGAAATCAAAACCTCAACTGATAAGGAAACTGAACTCAGAATTTCCAAGAAACTGTGGGTAAAACCCTAAACATAACTTTTGCTGACTAAGTTTAGATGTAGGGGGTGACAAAGAAAAATTCCAACACTATAAATAGCCTTACATACCTGAGAAGAATAGGCCTACTTTGAAACCTTGAACTAAGGCTTGAAGCCGAAGAACCCTAGTTTCTTCTTTGAGAGAACTTAGAATGTGTGAATTTGATTTGTCTGAGGGTTGGGTGTGAGTGAGGAGGTTATTAGGCCTTGAGATAGACTTACAAAAGTTAGTTGAGGGTAAAAGGTCAAAAATACCCTTCTAGGAAAATAAGGGGAGCATAAAAATCATATAAACGACCTTTTAACGAGTCCCCTCGGCCAAAACAACGTTTTGGAGTCCTCCTCACTGAAAATACTCTGCGGATAACCCATTGAGACTTTAGATAGCCCAAATGGAAAGAAGCTTAACATTTTTGGGATATTTCGGTTAGCTAACTTAGCGATTCACCAACCTATTCGGTAGATCGCCAAGTGGGCAGGTGAGATCACCTAATTTCCCAGCCCGGGTATGTTCTAGTAAAACAATCATAACTTTTAACTCCAAACTCAAAATATGGCAAACTTGTTGGCGTTGGAAAGAAGAATCATAGACCCTTATTTTATAGTTCATGGGCTACCTATTTCATTATTTGATGAGAGATATGATTATTTAAAGTTGAGCTAAGTAGAATCTTACGTCAAAACTTAAATGGTAAGGAAGCTTTCAACTCAACTTTGTGCTAGAGGGTTCATGTGACCTTAATTCATATCCAAATACATTTTCACACTAAAGAATTTACCTTTACACATATGAAAAATTTAAGAATCATACGATATGACGTTACATTTAAATAAACAATGGTTCGGGCCTTAACTTAGAAATTTGCAGGGTGTTACACTTTATCTTTGAAGCTCACTTAATCGATGCCTACTAAGTAATATTTTTGGTACTCAAACTACATTTCTGCTCCGTGCAAATTATAGTTTTATTTCTTGCTGTTGATTTGGAGTCCTTCGTACTACGGAGCAACTTAGAGTTCAGAGACTAGGGTGAGCTCCTAGCATTCAGAGTTATCAATTTCCATCTATTTTGGCTAGGCTTAGTCTTAGTCTTTATATTATCTTCAGAGACAAACTGTACTTATTTTGTAATTGTAAAACTCCTTGTACTCTTCTTTTTCATCTTTGTTCTTAGTAAACTTATTCTGATCCATGGAGTATATTCTTAGAGGGTATTTGACAAACATGTTGTATTGATGAATTTGTTGGGATTTTGAATTTCATTCTTATGCTTGAACTTGTTATGGGAATATTGAATTAAATTCCAGCCTTGTTCATTATTTTATTTAATCGAAAGAGGAATATCTTTGTGAATATTGTTGCACAATTTTGTTGTATTGGATCAATATATTTTCTCTAAAGTAATCGAAAGAGCTTGTAGGGGTGCACCAAGTTGATACTTACACTACCTTGCAGGCGCATATCGCATCAATTGCAAAGGATGTGAAATAGTTGACTCTAGCCCAGGCTCAAATGACACAATAAATAACGTGTGATTTTTGTTCAAGGAGGCATCCTACTCGTGAATGTCAACAAGGTTCATTTACAAAAGATAAGGTTAATGTTGTTGGAAACTTTTACAAAGGGAACTACCAAGAAGTAAACAATTTTAATGCAATGGGGCAAAAGCATCCCGAATTCTCATGGAGCTTACCAAATGGTAGTTTGAATGCGTGGTAGCAGAACAATGTGAGAGGCCAAGGACAAACACTTCAGGGGTACCAAAATCACCAGCAACAACAATATCAACCTCAACAAGGGAACCAATCCAATTTAGAAGAGATGTTTAAATGTTTCATCTCTAAGGATGATGATCGTTTTGAAATTTAAGGTGCTTATATTCAAAATTTAGAAAAGCAGGTTGGAGAGATTGCTAATCATATATCTGAGAGACCACTTGGAAATCTTCCAAGTGACACAGTAAGGAACCTAAGGAACTCAAAGCTGTGACTTTGCGAAGTGGAAAATAGTTAAACGATAATTGCAAAAACAAAGCTTGTGAAGTAACAAAGAGCCAAGATGAGAAAAAAGGAAGTAAAAAAGTAGTATGGAAGTCCAACAAAATTTAGAAAGGAAAAGAGAAGTTAGAACTAGAAATTGATTCTAAATACATGCCTGCATTGCCTTTTCCTCAAAAGATGAAACGGGAGAAGCTTGACAAGTATTTTGGTAAGTTCTTAGAGATGCAGAAGCAACTACGTGTGAATATTCTTTTCACTGAGGTAATCACTCTGATGCTTGCATATGCTAAATTTTTTAAGGAAATTTTATCCAACAAGAGAAAAGTGGAGGAAACATCAGTAGTCAAGTTGAATGCTCATTGTAGTGCCATACTTCAAAATAAACTACCTCAGAAATATGGTGTTCCAGGTAGTTTCATTATTCCATGTGCATTAGGGACTGCTAGACTTGAGAAATCCTTGTGTGGCTCAAGAGCTTCTATCAACCTCTTGCCTTTGTCCATATTCAAAAAGTTGGAAGGAAAGCTCAGAATCATGAAATCTATCCCAATGTCCTTACAGTTGGCAGACCAATCCACCATTATTCCTGAAGGGATAGTTGAAGATTTTCTAGTTAGGGTGGACAAGTTTGTGTTTCCAGTATATTTTAGCGTGGTGGATATGGAAGAAAATAAAGAGGTTCTGTTAATTCTTGACCGACCATTCCTAGCTACTGGTAGAGAAATACTTGATGTGTATGAAGAGAAACAGATGCTTAGAGTTGGAGAGGAAAATGTAGTATTCAATATGAAGAAGGTGGATGAGCTCAGAGTTATGACAACCAAGTTGGATAGACAGATCATGGCATGGGTGCATGCGCTTGGCCAAGCCTGATCAATGGATCCATACACTATTTCCGACATCGACTAAAGAGAGTCAGTGAAGTTCCTTTACTTTGCAGTTTCTTTATGCCATGGGGACATGTCATAGTTTAAGTGTGGGGGTGAAGGAATTGTAAATAACTAAAAAAATGAGTTTTTCTTTCTAGGGTAACTTCTTTGTTGTACTTATATGGGTTTCCTGTCTTCTTCTTTTACCATAGTCGTATTTGTTTTGAATCAAACATTTTTGAGGATGAGAGTCGTAGCATAATTGTTGAACAAGTGCTAGAGGTATAAATTGACTGATTCCTATCTAGAGGTTGTATTGCTTGCATAGTTGAAATTTGCTTACTTGTTGGCATGTAAAGTTGAGGCATTATCAGACCTTGAATATTATGTGGTGAGAAGACTTGATGTGTACTCATGTTTGAAAGAATCTAGAACTTGGCATGGTAGTTTTTTAGGGGAAATCCTAGGACTTTTTGTGGAAGACTATAATTATAGGCTTTCTTTGATTAACCCACTTCTGGCCTAAATTCATCGACCATTAATGATAAGTATCCCTAGTCAACCAATTTCATCCTTATAATAATCCATTTTTTATTAGACGATACATCCCTCTAGTCTAATCTCTATGTGTGTCACTCTTTTAATTAGAATTATAAGCGAAAGTGCAGAAAATTGATTTAAAATGAGACAACTGAATCTAGCCATCTGTTGAAAGACAACGAAAGTTGTTGGATGTGATTCCAAAGGAAGATGAAAGTTACCAAAAAGAAAATAAAAAGAAAAAGAGGTGAACAAGAAAGAGGGATATGACTTTCTACAAACAACCTTACCACAAATTATACCTGTACAAGTCCTATATGATTTTAACTTGATAAGTCCTACATTAGTGGATAATTACTCAATGGCCAATCCTATGGTATTTTTGAAAAAACATGATGTATTTCTTTGTGAGTAGGAGTGAAATGAGAGTTTTTTTTTTCCTATGATACATGAGCATAAGTCCTGTGAATAAATGGCATCTTCTTGTTGTGAGGAAGTTCATGAATTTATTTTTGCTTAAATTTTAGTGTCATCGAGTAGTCATTTAACGATGAACATTACATGCACCAATAGGGATGGTTGAAGTCGATTACTATTTCTAGTGACTGTGTGTCAAGGTTTAGAGAGAGTCAAGTTTGTTCTAATTTGCTCGGGACGAGCAAAAACTCAAGTGTGGGGGTATTTGATGGGAGAATAAGATGAGAAAGTTTAGACAAGTTTGAATGTGAATTTTGTAATTATTGGTCTACGTTTCATGTGTATAGGGTGGTCAATTCAAGTGTTGAACATGATTAGTGAAAAAGGCCAACAAGAATGTCAAATAAAGAAAAGAAAAGAGCAAAAAATGAGTACTCGCCTTTCTGCACGCCCAGCGGCGTGCTCGCGTGAAACCCAAGTTGCTTACTGGTTCTTCGCAGGCCAGTCGCGCATCCAAGCGCCTGCGTGGAGTTGAGGCGTGAAAACATTAACAATCAGGGTATTTTTGGAATTTCGAATAAAACCCTATGATATATTGTGCTGGAGCTTGTCCCAAGGAAGAGGATTGAGAGATTGACACCAAGAGAAGAGAAAGAAACACTAGGTTATGAAGAAGAGGAGGGGGAACACACAGTACACTACTTGAATTCAAAATGAAAGTTGGGATTTACTCAGAAGAAAAATCTAAGGCTTAAGAATACTCTAATAAGCTATCAAATTCGAGAGAATCGATAGAAATTTATATATGATAAATGAATGTGGTCAAATTCCAACTATCATTATGCACTTTTTTTAGTCTTGTACCCTAACTTTTATTGTTGATATTAAACTTCATAGTTACCAATTGTTTTTAATTATCATTTAGTCTATAAAAGTGGTTCATAACCACAATCAACTCCTTTATTTTGATCACCTGAATAATAGTTAGCAAGATTTGATTGAATTATTATTTGTACCAATCCCTTTGGAGACGATCTTTATACTATACTATCTTTGACTATCGAAGCGATAAACTTATAGTGTGTTTGTGCTGGTCAAGCGTCAAAGGGAACCAAAAGCATTTTCAAAAGGTTGTATCAAACAATTCACATGACAGACCGTATCACCTACGGATGTTAGGAAGCCATTACTAAGGGTCTTCCAAGCAAGCTACTAATGGGGCACGATGTTGCATGTGACAGACTGTTGCACCGTGATGGGCCGTCAGGCGAAGCGTTAAATGTATTTCAGAGGGTCAGCTGTCTTATTTTAAAATTTCAAATTTCCTGAAACTATATATAGTATTTTTAACGGTTTATTATCTTGGTTTTAGCGAAGAATATAGTATTTTTTAGGATTTATTTTATTATCGTGATTTAGCAAAGAGAATTGTACGCTAGAACGAGACTTTATTCAGAGTTAACTTGATTTTAATCAAAGCTTGAATGATTGACTTAACTTTTGTAAGTAAATTCTTATTTAATGAATGAAATTACATACTTTACATCAATTATCACGAGTGGCTAAACCCCACAATCAAGGGTTGTGGAATATGTGACGACTTAACCTAAATATAGAGTGTTACTTAATAAAACTTGTATTATGATTGTATACCTTATTAATTCTTTTGTATTAATCGAATCGAATAGTTGCCAATATTATAACTTGCCCTAGGTTTGACTTGTTTGAATAAAAATGTGTAAACCTAGGAAAAGAGATAATAACAAGGATTCAAGGTTTAAACCCATCTAATGATTGATGTTGTAACACGATTAACCAACTCCAAGTAAATTGACGAGTCCAAGGTTTGGACTCATATAGGGATTTGTTTATATAGATTTAGTGTCCTCAAGTGCTTATTTTGTGCCAATAACTGATGTTAAATCCTTGATTTTCAGGAATATGGATTGAGAAACAATGCAAGGACACTAGCTTGCAAAAAGGAACAAAACGAGCTGAAAGAATGAAGAAAGGAAAGCTTGGTGATTGCCAAGAATATGGATTGAGGATCAAAGCAAGGACACTAACTTGCAAAAAGGAAGAAAACGAGTTGAAAGAATGAAGAAAGGCAAGCCTAGTGATTGCTAAGTTCACTTGGCGAATCACCGAATGGCTATATGACCGCCCAAAGTTCCAGTGTGCCAAGCCCTGAGGGAAGAAACCAAGTCGGTGAGAGAAAAGATCAGTCGACGAATTGCCGAGTAGTTTCGCGATGTAGTGCTAGATCGCCCAAAGTTACAAACCTTGAGGATGCTCAATGCCAAGGCAGAAGGACGATGGAAGTGACCAAAGGGCGGCTCGTCGAGTGGTTCGGTGAGCCTGACTTACATCGCCGAATGAGATTTTGTAGCTTATTTTCGGCGACTATAAATACGTTTTTGAACATATTAGTTAGGAAAATTTTCATATCTAGTAGAAATCTTTTTATCAATTACTCTGGAGAACTGTTTTTCTCTAGCTTTTCCTTTAGCTTTGAAGGATTGAAGACTCACTTTTGAGAAATTGGAAGTGGGTCTTTGAGATTCATCAATTTGGACCATTGTAAAGACGAAATCTCTCCTACCTAGTTGATGGATAATCAATTCGGTAACGGTTTTTGGTTTTTATGATGTCTAGGTAAAACCCCAATTCTTGGGGTGTGATTATGTGATTATGGGTTGATTTAGCTTTGGGTATTGCTAATTGTTAGTTTAAATGCTATTTAAAACTGAGTTTAGTCATTGATTGTGGTTGAATTTAAGAATTGTAGTTCCAAATGCAATTTTACCTTCGTCTTCTTGGTTTGGTCGAGAAAGAGGTTTTAGAACTAAGCTTTTTGACTATGGTTTGTGGGCATTGGGTTGACCTAGGTTCAGCTTGAGAGAGTGAATCCTAAACCGAATCCCACACATTCAGCTCGAGAGAATGAATGAATTAAGGTCTGGGCTGCTCATATTTCGCATGCTTGTTGATGTTCGAGAGAAATCAACTTGATTCGGGGTAAATTGTTCGAGAGAAAGTTTACATCCTCTATAGCCTAGCTTACTCACTAATATTTAGCTATTTTCTAATAGTTGCAATTAACCATATGTCTACATTTGCCTATAATCAATCACATCCCAAGAACTCGTCCCATTGTTGTTATTTCTTGTTGTTTGTGACTGCTATTTGTAGTTGATAATCAAAACCAAAACCCTATTTGACATTCGTGTCACCCCCTGATTTGAATGATGTTTTTATTCGATAATTTTTATTCCAATGTTTGATTTGATCGCATTCATACTTCCTAATTGAATCTGAAATGTGTGCTTATACTGATTAGTTGAGTTTAGTTGAGTTTTATACTGATTACTGACCGTTGACACTTAGAATTGGATGTAGTGTCTTTGAAATGTTATTAATCAAAATGGCGTCGTTGCCGGGAAATGGTGTTGTTTGAAATTCTTTTGGTGAAGTTGAGTTGTGTTCTTGTTAGTTATAGTTGAATTCACTTATTTTTAGTTTTGGTTTTCGTGTGGCTTATTAAAACAGAGGAAATGAGTGTCAACGGAAGCAATGGGAGCCAAGTGGGCCACCAAGATGACATCGGAAACCTCATAATGTCAATGAATCGAATGTAAATGACCCAAATCTAGTGGGTAGAGTTGGTGCCATTCGCATGCCTCCAGCTGAAGGAAATGTTGTGTTCCACATTACAAGCACCATGTTGCAGCTCTTGCAATTGAAAGGGTTGTTTGGCAGGCTAGCTCATGAGGATCCCCATGAGCATATAAGGAACTTTGTTGATGTTTGCGGGCCGTTCTCCTTTAAGAACATATCCCAAAAGTCAGTTCGATTGAGGTTGTTCCTATTTTCTCTAATGGGAGAAACGCGTAAGTGGTTGGCTGAGTTGCCAAAAGATTCTATCACTTCGTGGGAAGAGCTTGTTACCGCATTCCAAGTGCAATTTTTCCCTCCTTCGAAGATGATGACACTTAGGGACAATATCCAAAGCTTCAAGCGTTTGGAGGGTGATCTAATTCATGAGAC